ATTTTTGCCTTGTCGCGAAGTGAGAACTGAATTAATTGAATGAGAAATACTGAATCGTCTGTGCATAACTGTTTAATATGGTTTAATATTTGTTGATTTCTATTTTAAATTCCTCATAAGAACTAGGATATCTAATGGAAATTTCTCCATAACTGCCATATCTCTCATTACTGACGTTAAAAACTTCTATAATGTTGCAAGTGTTTGTTTATTACATTTAGCATATTATTTAGTGCTAACAGGGGACTTATTAGCCACAAGATTTGGCAAATAGGTAGTTTCCAATGGGAGTTTTTCTCTGTGGAATAAGATCTTTAATTCATTTTTAACATTAAAACTGTAATTGTTAATGACCTGAGCAGTTTATGGTCAATGGCTTTATTCTTGAACTACTTAATAATTGAAATTTTTACTTTTTACTTTTTTAGTTATTTTTGGGTAACTATTCTAGGGAAATATAAAATAACAGTAGAATAACAATAGTATTCCATATAAATCTCGCAATTTAATTTGAATGATAATTTGGTCTCAAAATAAAGACGCATTTTTAAATTTCAAGAATGATTAAAACTTTTTCATTTATTTGAATATTAATCATTTGGCCTAATTTGTTTTCAAATTTTGAATATTACCAATATTACTTATATATTCTACAGAATGATATCGCAAATTAAAAGACAGAACAATATATCATTATATACCTTTTATGAAGAAACATTTCTACGGATATGGAACTAAAGTTTAATATCTTTATGCGAACTGCAGGGAAAAAAATTCGTTTTTTGATAGAAAAATATGATGTGAATACCCATTCGGGAAAAGAGTGCAGTAATGTTTTAAAAAAGGCAGCTGTAGTGTATTAAGAAAAGGAAAATGGGATAATTTTTTCTAGGGATGAAAAAAAAAAATGAAAAGCTTTGAAAATGGCAAAAATGTAGCGACTTCCTAAAAATAACATAATACATACATCTCATGATATTTCGTATCATTTAAAAAAGACTTTCTGTTTCAAAGTAAATAGCATCTCATCTCAAATTCCCTTAAAAAAACGAGAATAATGTTTTTAAAAGTAGAGTCAGAATTTGAAATCCAATTTTTAAGTAAATTGCGAAAACGGTGAAGTTCATAATGAATAAAGAAGCCTAGTTAAATAGATGCAAACATACTCCTGTATTTTAAAAATTAAGGCAGGCATCACAGAAGTTAGTCCAAATTTCAGCTTGTGAAGAAGGTCTCAGAAACTCTAGATTTTAATTTAATACATTGCTAAATGAATTCATAAGTAATTAATGATATCAGAGCAATAAATTAGGACATGTTGTATATAGTATAAGAGACATTTTTCAAATCATGTGTCATTAATTCTAATTTAACTTGCGATATATTTGAAATTACTGAATTAAATTTTCATTTAAAAATTAACTCGATAAGTATCAGCACATCACATGTCATGTTTCTGACAGAATAGAATGAATTAATGCACATTTTCTTAAGTTTGAGTCAATTAAAAAAATATATTTGCTATACCGTATTCAGTGTTTGAATGCATGCTTTCGTTATAAAAGTACATAAATTAGAGGTACCGTTTTTTCATTTTAAGAGTTATCTAAAGGATAACCACTATTTAAACAGAACATTAGAGACATATTCTGAGTTTAAATAGCGCCCCGAATAATGATTATTGGAAGTGTTAAGGCAAGAAGAATCGGCGTCATATTCATAACTGTTGCGGACTAGTTTCGAACTGCAGGCCTAATTTCAAAGGTTTAAAAATAAGACCTACTTCTTGAGTTGCAGAGGTGCAAATGGCGAATGAAAAGCTGTTTTCATTTAGTTATTTCATTTTTAATCAATAGATGACGCCAATAGCTTCACTTCCTTCTTCTCACTGTTATCGCCCGAGCACAGGCTTCTATTCCGCCATTTGCACATCTGAAGCTAAAGAAGAAGATTTTATCTTACAGCCTTCGGACCTAGTCCTGCAAATTTACGACTATGGCCCTGATTCTTGTTGCCTTAACATCTCCAATAGAACGTTATCTAATTTATGATAAATTCTTTTGTGAAGTGCTTGAGATGCCGCTATTTAATTCAGGTGCTGATTTCTTCTTAGTTCTTTTAATTCAGGTGCTTTGATAATGTTTACTTTATGAAGGAAGTTAAAATGCTGCCTTGGAAAACTTGTAACGTCTACAATTTGTTAGAAAATTTTATTTAAATTGATAATGCTTTAATGAGGCTTACTTTATGAATGAATTTAAAAGGATTTATTGACAAGCAAAGTCGGCTGTTATATCTCCGGAATCGGATTAGAGTGCTAAAAAAGGCATGGGCATTTGTAAATACACATTCGTTATCTTTGCAACATAGAGGCATTTAGACTTTGTCAGGATGAAATGTCCCCTTGAGATGTTTCTTGCAGGGGTAGGAGGATCATTCCCCAGAATCGTTTACACTATATTTGAGAGAAAGCTGGAGAAAATCTTACGACCGTCTAGTGCATGACGGTTTTGCTAAAGATAGATCCAATTTTTACTTCCTTCTACTATTTTTCACGGACATAATAATACATATATAATTACATGCATACATTACATAATTAAAATTCAAAATAAATTTATCACTTTTCTACGTAACATTTAGATTAATGTCCAAATTTTTGGTTTTTTTAATTTACATTTTGCAAAGAAAGGCATGTATTAGATAATTATTAATTATATTTCTCTTTATAATTCAAATATTAAAAGATTGAAAATGACACTGCCTTGCAGCATATTTCTCTAAAACATTTTCTTTAAATTTCTATTCCACTGCTCTCGAAATATATTAAGTGTATGAAAAGAATTCTGAGGAACTTTCAATATGTAGAGATTGAAGCTTAGAAATGAGCGATTTTTCTAGCAATTAGCATTTCTATTATATTTTTTTAAGCTTTATAATGACTGATTATTCATGCATACTTTTAAAAATAAATTAAGAGGATAAAAATATGTCTGAAAGCATTCAGATTTTAACGTCTCACCAGAGGCTTTGTTAAGGTGTTTAATGCTCTCATTGAGCTCGTAGTTTAACTAACTGCTCTTGGACTCACTTCTGCTCACGAAATTTTTTCCTTTTTAATTTTATTGCTAAACATCCTTTTCTGTATACTTACACCGCAAATAATTCACCAGTAAAATCTCAAAATTAAAAAAAAAAAAAAAAAAACAGCATTTCTTTAGAATTTTTGATATAGTGCTAAGTATTGTCATATATTTTTTAGCTCAGAACGATTATTATTCTCCGAAACTCAGTTTTATATCTATTCATTTTTTGTTGTCCGTTTCACTTTCCAAATAACAAGCGTCGCCAACAGCCTAAAAAGTGCTACTTTTAATATTTTAATTTAATTGTTACATTTTACTCACAGCTGATAATTACTTATATGCTGTTTAACAAAAGTCTCATTGCAGTTAAAATAAAAATGAGATAATTTATATAATTCGAGCGAACTTGTAAAGTATCCTCTGTGTATTATGTAGAAATTGGCTTGAATTGTTTGCTTCTTCGATTCATGAAATTACGAAAAAATGCTTAAATTACAGATTAAAAAATCAGACCAAAATTATGGCTTCGTTTAAAAGAGAATGAAGTATTTTGCAGAAAACGAAATATTTATATCATTCATGGCAAAGGAAAAAGATATATCTCATTTCTTTGAATTAAATTAAATTAATCACTTACGTATTAACGCAGCCTCCCTGGAGCAAGATAAAAAAAGTAAAAGATATCTATAGGGATCAAGTTGGTGGCTTTTCTTAAAAAAGATTCCCAAACGATTCGTGTTTGTCATAAGTTGACAAACATTATGAATATTCGAAAAAAAGTATTTATGCAATTTAAATTACAAATTTCAATTATTAAATAAGAATTACATTATGAATTAAAAATAAAACGATAAAATATTTATCTCCAATTATCTTTTTGTAATTTTTTTGCGATTTTGTATTCTCCAAGAACACAGCTATCTCTTTTCACTTAAAAAAAATCAGAGAACTACAAAAGTGTTTATTAGGTAAACTTCGGCAGTACCAGCTATTTATCAAACGCATTCACTCGTTGTTGCCGTCAGAGATTTTGCCGCAATATTTTGTATTTCTGCAGAAATGCTAACGCAGTTTCTTTCATTGCTGGCAAATCCATAAGTGTATATTTTAAAATGAAATTTTAAGGCAAAAATATCAATATTTGTTTATAAAAACCGTTGAAACGTAAAAAGAAACAAAAAGAACCCATACGAAAATGGCGGCGTTGCTTAGTTGAAGGAATGTTATGAGCATGGTTATGCGCTTGGTTGAGGTCAACACATTCTAAAATTTTGGCGACTTTGAACAAGATGGTTACGATAACACATAAGTACCTTTAATTAATCATTTGATTTTCCAAGGATTTGCAACCAAAATTCCAGCGTCTCCTCACGAAATGTTCTACAGAAATTCATTCCTTTTTGATTATAATTCACAGATATCTCTCCTACTTTATAATAGTTTCTTTTCTTCGCGATAAACAACTTTAACATTTTACATGCATTATTTGAGACAACTGCTAATGAAAATGCATATGCAGCGAGAGAGATTGAAAGATTTTTAACTGCGACAAACATGCTGCGGAGAAGAATACGTGAGGGGAAGACGTTTCTAGATGAAATATGCCAGAGTTGGGGTAAGGAACAAAAAATCGTAAGTAACCTGCTTACCTATGAAATTGCTAGAAACCAAAAACCTATTCCACGGCTTTTACTACGTAACCATATTTCAAACTTTTGCTTTGTAATAAAATGATTGATATGTTTGTAATTTGAGTAAGATGCGACGGAAGCAAACTTTAAAAAAATATTTAAAAACCTATATTCTTTTATATGTAATGCATATTAATTGAAATGAAATGCTATTTCACATATTGAGTAATTAGAATGTATAAGAGGTTTTGGAACAATGAATGATTTCATGCACTGTACTTACGTCCACATCTATTCCTACTTGAGGAAATGCCTTCAGAGGTGGATCGGATGCAGGCACGAACCTGAAAAACTCGCCCATATTTTTGTACCACTTGACAGCATAGAGAGTCTCATTACCAAGTTCATAGCCACATCTTAAGATAACGTTTTCCCCCGTTACGACGGGAGTGGGTATGTGAAGCATGTTGATTCGCAGAGGTACCTGAGGGTATCTTGAACCTAAAACAGAATTTAAAGGTTTATGAAATATAAAAATAATAGTAGGCAAAAGTGTCGTTAGTGAGTTTAGTGGCACGCCTTCATCAAAAATAAACAACGGATTACCTCAGGGTCAAATTTAACACATGAAAAATATTATAATCTGATAATTTAGTAGTATAAAGCTCGCGGTCCTATTCGATATTCAAAACGGAATTTTGTGTCTTCGGGATTTAAGGAAAAGAAAAGAAATGAGTGTCCAAAATTTCTTGCATTTTATACCCAACAATCAATATTGCTTATGTTTAACATATGTTTGTAAAATAACCTTTTTAGTTTCAAGTTTTAATGACTATCTAACATGATTAACGTTTAAAAAACATTTTGTTCAGCCATGTTAAAATATTGCATATATGTATGTAATATAATATTCCAAAATTACTTGCATTTTATACACAACAAGTAATATTGCTTATGTTAAACATTAGTTTTTTTTAAATACCTTCTCATTTCCTAGGTTTTAATGACTATCTAACATGATTGATTTTTAAAAACATTTTGTTCACATATGTGGAAATATTAATATATATATATTATATACTCGCAGTAAAATCAAAATTTCTATATAAATATAAATTCAATTCCTTAGAGATGGATATGGAAAATTTTCTTATTATTATGTATTATAAATTATTTATGTAATATATAAAATTTATTATTATATAAACAAGGGGTGATCAAATGGAAAGGTAGAAAACGACGTAATTAATGCGAGAATTTAGAACGTAGCGAGGCATCTTGGGATGCGACTGGAATCTCTGACTGGGATCGGAGCATGCGCGGGCGCCCGCACGCGCAGGAGAGAGCAGAGCTCTTATCAAAAGCGGCGTCCAAATGATGCGGCAGTCCGTATAAGGCCAGGATGGCGTTCGCTGAGCGTTGCAAAATTCGATGACTGAGGAGCAGCGAGGTGTTATCCGATTTCTGACAGCGGAAGGTGAGAAACCGGCAGCTATTCATCGCCGGATGGTGACAGTTTACGGGGAAAAATGTGTCTCTGACAAGTCTGTCAGAAAATGGAGTTCCCGTTTTCGTGCAGTCCGTGAGAGTGTGGGTGATGACCCGAGACCAGGCCAGGCAAACACTGTCATCACGAGCGATCTCGACAAGGTGAACGACCTAGTGAGAAGTGATTGGAATGTCACATTGCGAATGTGACAAATGTGACTTTGCGAATGGTGAAGGTGGATGTTAGCTATCGAACCCTGCGGACAATTGTTCACGACAGGTTGCGATTTCGGAAGGTGTGTGCCTCTTCAGTTCCGAAGCAGCTCACCGACCAGCAAAAGGAACAGCGTATGGGGCAACATTTGTTTCGGTATCAGGAAGACCCCGCTTTCATGGAGCGGATCGTCACAGGGGAGGAGACCTGGTGCCATCACTACGAGCCAGAGACAAAGCGGGACAGCATGCAGTGGAAGCATGCGTCGTCACCTCCCTCTAAGAAGTTCAAAGCCGTGCCGTCAGCAGGTAAGGTATTGCTCACCGCCTTTTTGGACGTTCAAGGTCCGTTACTTGTGAAATTCCTCGAACACAGGAAAACCATTAACTCCGATGTGTACTGTGAGACACTTCGACGCCTACGCAGTTCCATCAAGAACAAAAGACCGGGGCTGCTCACGGAGGGTGTGGTTCTGCTCCATGATAACGCGAGTCCACACGTCTCCAGAGTCACACATATGGAACTGGCCAAGTTCAAGTGGGAGACTTTGGACCATCCGCCCTACAGTCCAGACATCTCGCCTTGCGATTTCCATGTGTTTTGTAAAATGAAGAAACACCTGAAAGGGAAACGCTTGAACTGGACGACGTCCTCGAGGACGCTGTGAAGGACTGGGTCTCGTCACGGCCACAGGAATTTTGGGAACAAGGAATCCTGCGGCTTGTTCATCAGCGGGATCGTTGTGCTCAGGCCTATGGTGTATATTTTGAATAAAGTCTAAATTTGTACCCACCGTGTCGTTTCGTACCTTTTCATTTGATCACCCCTTGTATTATAAATTGATTATTAGTAAAGGTTTTTTACATATCATCTCCAAGGAACATAAATTTAATTAATGCGATAAATTATTGGAATAAATTTGAGTCAGTATTTTAAGTAGAGATACTAGCAATTGTTGAAAGTATAGAGCCTACTAACAGTTAAGTTTCAGTAGTAAAACTTTACTGTACTATAGGTTTTAAGTTTGTAAAGTTCAAAATCATTATAAATTTAAAAGAATCCTGGAGATAACATACTTAAAGTAGGCTGGTAATAAAAAAGCGTTCAAAACTGCTATTAAATTAGAATGAAAATTCTAAGTAAACAAATATCTATCTATCGATATCTATAGCAGTATATCTCTGTCTATATATACTATACACACATTTTTATACACTTGTCTTACATTTGATGACAATAAACAAATACATTTTATTTAGAAATATTAGGGCTCACAATGATATCGGAAATAGTAAGTTTAGCACTAATATAGCTATTTATAAACACAGAAAGGTGTTCTTTAATTGTTATTACTGAAAACAGAAGAAGAAAGCATAAAAACACTTAATATGTATGAATGGAATTTGAAATTGGTATTTCCATTTTTTTGGAATGCTGTTTTTAATTATATAAGATGGCTAAATTTCTTTGAATATTCTGATAAATGATATAAGATAGATAGACGATTTTAGTACCTTAAAATACGAATCATAACGGCGTTTGGTTCCTTTTCATTTTTTCTTTTGAGCTAATTTAGTTTAGAACCATTAAAGTAACTGACGAGACCTTTTTTATATTCGCAGATTTCTACTGTGTTTTCCTATTGATTAAACCTAAAACTGTATTAAGAATCTTTTCAGTGCATGGTACCATCGAATTTTGCACCTAGTTCCCTAGGTGTGGCACTTACTGCAATGGTTTTGCTTCTTTTGCAGTTGATCGAAAATACCAATTTATATATGAATAAAATATACATTTTATGATTTGAGATCTGAAATAAGAGCAGCAAATAATAACGGCTGAAATCAGCATAATCTGTTCTTTAATGCATTTAATTTGTAAACTTACCTAACAGTTTTAAGTAACGTTAGGTAAGTTGTAAATTACCTAACGTTACTTAAAAGAAAGTCAAAATAATTACTTATTTTAAAAGCCTATGTCACCCACTTAGCGAAAGAAAGTAAATGAAAATTTCTTGTACAGTTTAAGACTAAAACCTTAAAAACTACATATGTGTATAATCTCTTTGGACATTTGTAACGTGGTTAAAATACTTTTATTATGCAAGTGTGTTTTGAAAATGTAAATAACAATTAATTTTCTTTCAGTACTAAGACGAAGATTCTACGATTTTGTGAATGTGTGAAAAGTATGGATTATTGCTTAATTACCTGTAAACAATGAAAGGACTTTCTGCCTAGTGGGACAGATAGTTCTAACATACGTTACATATAAAAAAAGAAAACAAACGTACTTAGGAAAATGAAGTCAACTCATTCATCCGTAGGGAACTTCAAACTACAAAATTTCTGCATTTTTAGTTGCAACTCAGTTGGCCATTTTTGGAATACAAATAATAAAGAGGAAAATAGTCTTTGTCCGGAAGTTGTAATTACCGAGTGAGATATATTGTAGTTTGAGTTTTTATCAAGTTAAATTTGTGTGGAATTTCCACTAAGGAAAGAACCATAAAGTTTTATCTAAGGAAGGCGTTGCAATCTTTTATACGTTGAATGAATTCGCACAAATATTGGAACGCATTCCTCTAATAAAAAGAAGACAATCATAAACTCTGTAATGATGTATATTTTCGATCGAAGAATTCACGTAATTATTTGATAGATTAAGATTTAATAACGAACTGATCAGCATGTTTGTCGAAGTACTGTAAAAATGCTCTGATCAGCTTTTAAGCCTAGTTAATTTGGTGAGAGTTCCGTTAGAATGTCTTTAGTGAGTTCCGTTGTGAAATAACTGGTCCTAGACAGGAATTTCTACCTAGTAGCATAATCGTAGAAATTAAGTTAAGTTCTTGCTTAAAAATGCAAAACTTTACTGGATATTTGAAAGCAGGAATTCTTTTTGAGCTTGCTCATTTTGCCAATAATGACGGACCTAGTGGAAATGACAACAGCTCCAAGCAATTCTCACGTTATGACCAGCTCCAAAATAGTTCTCCCTTAACCTAAAGTTGAATTTTCTTAAATATTCCCTCATTCGCTTCTATACAATAAAGTTTAATTATTGCGTTGGACTAGCTAATTGATAATTTGGAAAATTATTGTAATTCTTACAGAAAATAACAAAAGGGTGTAAGGATCATGTTATTTCTTTGCAGAAGGCATCGAAATACTTGTACCACGCCTAGACAAATGCTGAAATAGCGGAGGTAATTACGTTGAAAAGTAGATTTTGAATGGAACTTTAAGATATAAATAAAGTTAATTTAAAATTTTGCTCTCATTTTGTTTTCTTAGGCAGTGCAACTAACGTTTTGACTGATCCTCGTATATTAGACTGGTTACCACGATCCCCAAATATTAACCCGATAGAACATGTGTGTGTATTTTACATAAAGAGCTATGCCAGTACTCAGTTATACGCAAATTTTCTCTTAATTACACGCTTGAACAAAGTTGGCTGACATAAATATGGCAGTGTATCATAAAGTAGTGGCTAATGTGCCTAGTAGAGGTGTTGCTGTAATTAAAAAGCTTAAGCTCGAAATACTAAATATTAAAATAGTAAATATATATTGCTTAGATTCAATGACAAAATGTTTGCTTTATTTCAAAGTAACTGCATTATTATACGGCGTTTAATACTTTTGGCCAAGGCTGTGTAAATAATTTTCTTATGGGCTTAGCTATGGAAGTAGCCTAACTACGTGCGCCTTTCACAATTAGTAAAAGAAAGAAGACATAGATTGCCTGCGTAGTTCAAAGATAGTACTCTAGCTATAATATTCGGAGAAATTCAA